GTCAATTGAAGTCGTTGTCAGCACAACCCCCCAGCAGTATGTATATACCCACCCCGTACTACAAGCAAGCTAGGCGACATTAAAAAGACGTATTGGCAGCTCACGTGATACAAAAACTAGAGCTACGTACAAGTGTCGTTCGTGCACGCAAGCTATGCACAACAGCAAATCATGTCGCCGCCGTGCTAATTCGATAGGCGAGAGAAACTAATCATGTATTGCACATCCAATTGACTTAAGAACTATGTCTAGTTCTATAATTCCAGTACCGTGATATCCAACACCACTCCATAAGGGTGCCACGCAAGATAGTCCTTGTATTTATGATAACATATAGGTGCAGTGTGTAGCTCTTTATGACGTCTCATCGATTAGATGCACAACTACATCCAGCTTCGACAACAGTTTTAGGATATGAATCGCATATATTGTATTTTTTTGTTTCTGCTGTGCATTTCTGTGTTGCCATGCTGCAAGGATTATGTTGCGGCTTTCATAATCTTAATTGAAAAAAACAGAGCCAGTTCTCTCTATTTGTTATCGTTTCTTTGCTGATATAGAAAAATTTCGATATAGATGGTAAAAAACACACGTTGCCCTATATCACCATATTTAACACGTACGCAATTGTTAAACAGCACAATCTTCACCTTCAGTAAGAACTGACCAGCTGCTGCTACTTCTCACGAGCTGTTATGGGTGCGTACCACTTCAACTAGTCATCAGCTTATTATCTGCCTGTCAGTCATACTCCTCGCACTGCAATACAAACACACGGACTTAGCACGCAATCGTTAAACATAACAATCATCACCAACAGTAAGAACTGACCTGCTGATACCACTGCTCACGAATGGTACGGGGTCCCAGCGGGGTCCCCACGATCACGAGATAGTCGAGTTCGTGTGACCAGGACCAGGCTCGCACACAATGTGCTCACTGTGAGTGGGCCCATCGGCGCGAGGGCGCGATTGATAAGTGAACGAACGTTGGTAACAATGAATCGTTCACGACCATTGTGTGACAGCTGTCTATTATATGGAAAGAGTGGTTAGCAATCAAGCAGTTTCTTATCCCATGTTGCAGTTGAGTATAATGCGGTTAGCACTACTTCTTTATGTTTTTATACTTGAGTTGAATAAAGTACTGATTTTGGAACTTTTGCACATATGTGGCACTGCTTATGAAATTTGCTCTATCATATAATTTAGAAATATGTAAAGAGACAGGCCATATATGAGGAAGCTACGATTGACAATTTGCGCAGGATCATCGGCACAGCTGCAGTTAATCATATCTGTATAATGGAATCCTTACAACTGCTAATCATTTTACTTTAAGGGAATTATAAAATGCCTTATTTAATCACGAAAATCTCCACGTCTGAGTAAGCTAAAGTTAATGTGGTACACATAAAACCACCCATTCTTTCTGTTTTTCGCTTTCTCATTTACGGCTATTTCCAGTCATCGCCCTGTTCGGGAAGATGGAGATAAAGTTTTGCCGCTGGCGTGCTGCACTTGCAGACACCAGTTGCAGGGACAAACGCATGATATAGGTACGTAAACGCGTCTTCGTATCATTGATTGCGTCTGTAAACACGGTCATTCGGTGCTAATGTTGTTGATACTAATGTTATTGCTTTTGTTTCAGTTGCTATCATTGATGTTACTGCTGAGATTGCTGCTGCTATTGTTGTTTAGGTGCTGCGTTTGCTGTTGTTGTTTTAGTTTTTTTGTTTATGCTGCTACTGCTGTTCTTGCTGCTGGCGCTGTTGTAGGTGCTGCGGTTGCTGCATTGTCACTCTGTTGATGATGCTACTGCTGTTTTTGCGGAGAGATACAGTCGTTGCATTGGATGGGGTGCGTGCACGGACGCTCGCAACACGTGCGTGCTGGTGCTCATCGACGGAAAGTGTACGTGTGTGTGTGCGTGTATAGCTAGGAACATGCGATTGTGATGCTGATTCTACCGAGCTCCGTATACGACTAATGACACAATAACATATAATGACGGGATCAAGCAACTTGCACTTTAAAGTTCCAGCACCTGCTATAAGGGGTTAGAGTGGGTTGCATCGTGCTTACACAAGTAGCGTGAAAACCCATCATGACCAGAACGATAACTTGTATCGATATGATGCGCTTGAGTTAGTGGAATTGTGGCTACATCATGACATTAACTTGAGTATACTAGGACCTTAAATCTATATTTTTTTAAGATTCTGGGACTTGTTTACTTATTCACTATCTGGGGCATTTCTTTTATTTTCCCTTTTTATAGATGTTTCCTGTGGCATCGCGTGACTTTTCGCAAAGACAAATATTCTTAGAACATTTGTGAAGGGAAGGTTATGAGCGTATAAATGGAAACCAATTCTTAATAACGGGTTCTGCCGAATAATATACGGTATAATATACCCTATTATACCCTAATTCGCATAAAGGCGTTGCATCAGGCAGAATACAACTACCAATTCACACGTAAATGAAAAAATTGATTCTTTGGATTATAAATGACGGCAGTAGTGGAGTGGTGTAGCAGCTAAGAAATACTCATACCGCATGAGTTCAAGCCCAGCAGCGATGGAACAACTAGATTCTTACAGGGGGATATGGAGCTGCAACGCAAGTACATAAAAACCATATATTGCGACCCACATTATATTAGGCGCTGATAAACACATAGCCAAATGCCTTTATCCAAAGACTGGATCGTCAAACTCATATGCTTTATCAGCATCATCTGCATCATCGGAGGAACCTTCGTCAGCGCTCACCCATCTACTCTGAAAGAGTCCACCATGCACGTCGTTCTTGGCAATGTGCCAGTCGCTGTAGTCAACAGCGAGCACTGATGCTGCAACAGACTTGCGGACAACTTAGTCGAGGACAATTTTTTGCGGTCTGATGACCCAACCACCACCTCCTCCACGCTAGGTGGCCGTTACAATCCTCCCTTGGTGTACCGCACCCGATAATACCTGTTCCATTCGTCAATAACGCTAGAGAGACAATCTTTGAAGGACTTGTATATTCCGATGTACCCTGCCTGCATTGATGGCGTTGGCCGTCAAGGAAATATTTATCTAATGGATCTTCTTGATGATGCATTCGCCTTGACGTCCTTGGCTATGTGCGCTCGCATCAAGTCCTACACTAACCTTTCCCGCTGCAGGATTATAGAAGCGCTAGAAATATCAGATCGATCCACTTTAAAAGAAGCTCACTGTTCATCCAGGCTCGCTCTTGATACGTAACATAAACCGCGCCGCTCTCCTAAATTCTTTTTTTGCGCCTTTCCAGATCAGATGAGGTGGCAGCTTTGTCTTCATGGATGTGGCAGTAAGCGCAACATTCTTCCGCATCAAAGCGATCCATGTCAAGCGCAAGACGTCATTACGAGAACCGGTAGAGTCCACAGTGTCGCGCCGCGAATCATCAAATAACACCGCCGTCTCATCCATCATTAGCGTGCCGCTGGGGTGAGCGAACTCTTCTTCCATTTGAGGTACGTGGGGAATCGTACGGCACGCGCAGTGAGCTCGTCGTCACTGCATACGATGAGAGGGGTCGCCCGTCTGAGAGAGAGAGAACACAAAATATAATGAAGCGAGTGAGCCACTTGTCAGATGCGCAGAGATCATCGTCGTCCAGCTCAGCTTTAGTGAGCTTGCGTGCAGATGCTTGATTTCACTGAAGCGACACCTTTTCTTTGGTCGATTTTAGGAAAACGATTTAGTCAAACAGGACATCCTATATCTCACCGAGACAGTGGAATTTGTATTTACCTGTCACTCGCAGCTGCAGCGCCGGGGAGTTCGGATGGCGGCGCGGTTCTTAAACTAGTAGCGAATTTGGGCACTTGACACCTTCCACCCTCGCTCCGCTTGATAGTGCTTCAAGGCGCGCGTTGGGACCCCACCTCCAGGACCTTCGATCGACTTGATCACTATTCGCTTCTCGAGGTTGGTCTTGATAACGCGCCTGTGTGCCATGGTGGCACTGGAGGAAGACCTTCGATACGAATTGAGCTTGACATAAAGTCATCCAAACGTATGAATGTAAACGGACTTGTTTAGTATCCGATTGTCAAAGATTTGAGTGGGTCATTGTTGATCCGAAAAATGTATTTGACAAAAAGTAATGAAGTACGACGTGTGGGCATGGTTTCATACTGTTTGTTTACCCTATAATATGGCAATGGTATTATATATGGACAAGGTGTATAAATCGGCGGAGCCTTTTACTTATGAGTACAGAAAAGTCCTATTCACAACACCACGATTGTCATTACGCTCCTATTTCTAAGAAAACATGCTACACGTAATACAAAATAGCACGAACCATTGGCTATGAAATCATCAAAAATTACTGCGTTTCTGATGTTTACTACATAATGTTTGTGATTGATGGTCTTTGTTTATTGCCTAATTTAATCAATTTTTTATTGATAAAAATTATATTCTTATTTTCGTGTATTTATTTACATTTAGCCAATTACAGCGCGAGAAAATTATGCGGAGAATTGAGTGGTGAATAGCGGCTCCCTAAATGAATTGCAGGCGCGTAATCATGCGCATCCCTTTGACTTACGCTGTCTCTTCTGCTGATCACTACCACTGACATATTACAACTCAACGATAAATTGAACCTGTTGAGCTCAGTGGTTGTGGTCAGCAGAAGAGCCAGCGTAAGTCCGAGAGATGCGCACGATCACGTGCCTAGTGCTAAGGTGGGTCGTGTCACATGGCGTACAATCCGCTAGTGTACTTTACAATATTCCGTGCATGAATGTTTCATCGGGTCCTCAAAAAATTGGTACGCTTGACTGACGGAGACTTTGCTTGTGATCGATTCGATGAGTGCAAATCTTGCGGAACTGAGATTCCTCAACAGTTCTCTTTGATGTATTCACGTCAGTATTCAAAAATAACGGGCGGGATGTTTACGGTCATCTGTCATTGTCAATTTTTTCTCATCGAGACCACATCGATCCCGATGCTGCCGATGGATTACATAGCCGACACGCTCTCGCACAGCACTGCTGTCTCCGCGTTTGGCGTCCTCGTCGTTCTCTCCTTAGCGTACTATGTGCTAGCAGCTGAGTGGAAGTGTAAGCTTGGGACTCGAAGCGTGGTGCGTCCGTGTGGGACAAAGTTGTTTATCGGCAACACGTTGGAGGCCATCCGCACAGTTCCAGTCCGTCATGACTGGATTGCCACTCTGTGCGCCGAAGCGAAGGGCGAGCCAGTGCTGCTGCAGTCGTTGGGAACGCAGGATGTGACTATGCTCTCGACTCCTAAAGCGTTTGAGGACGTACTCAAGAACCAGTTTGACAACTTCCCCAAAGGACAAAGAAAGACTGAGTACCTGCGCGAATTCCTTGGTGAAGGCATCTTTGCAGTCGATCACGACAAGTGGTACTGCCAGCGCAAGGTCGCCAGCAATTTGTTCACCATGCGATCGTTGCGGGACTCCATGACGAGTACTATCCAGCGGCACTTGGTCGTGCTAGAGCGCATTTTCGGTCGAGCCGCGGAGAAGAACGACCCGGTGGACTTGTACCGACTGTTCAATCGATTCACTATGGAGGCGTTCACCGAGATAGCCTTTGGCGTGAAAATGGACGTCTTGGATTGCGATAAGGAACACCCGTTCCAGGTGGCGTTTGACCGTTGTCAACGAGCGCTCGTACTTCGCTTCGTCCGACCGAGTTGGTTCTGGAAGACTCAGCGTTTCCTAGGAGTTGGAATGGAGCGCCAGCTGAAGCAAGACATTGACGTGATCAATTCCACCATTTTCGACATTGTGGCCAAGACGATCCAACATTGTGGAAAAGACGCGCAAGACGACAAGAAAGCAGGAAAGGATATCATATCGCTGTTCCTGGACAACATGGACCAATCAAAGGACGCAGACGGCGGCTGCTTTGACCCCGTGTACCTGCGAGACATTGCCGTAAACTTCATCATCGCCGGCCGCGACACTACGGCACAAGCGCTGAGCTGGTTTTTCTACTGTCTCAATCAGAACAAGCAAGTGGAGGCCAACATTCGCAAAGAACTCGACGCGAAGTTGCCCGAGCTGTGCAAAGGGAAATGCAGCCCGTCAATGGACGATGTCAGCGAACTCACTTACATGGAAGCTGCGCTGTTGGAGACACTGCGTCTGTACCCGTCCGTCCCGTTCGTCTCGAAGGAGGCTGTTCGCGACACAGTCCTATCTGACGGCACATTCATTGCCGCCGGATCCTATGCTGGCTTACCTATGTACGCCCTCGGACGAATGCCTCACGTGTGGGGTCCTGATGCTGCGGACTTTAAGCCAGAACGGTGGATCGACGTGAAGACCGGCAAACTCATCACGGTCTCGGCGTACCAATTTGTGGCATTCAACGCTGGACCACGCATGTGCCTGGGCAAAAACCTTGCAATGCTCGAGATGAAGTTGATCGTGGCGTCACTGCTGAGTAAGTACCACGTTGAGCTCGAGAGCCCTGAGATGGTAACGTATGCTGTTTCATTCACTTTGCCAGTGAAGGGACAGCTCAGCGCCAAAATTTCAGCCATTTAGGCGGGAGCAAAGCGAGCCTACGATGGTCATTCTTTCCGCGTCTAGTATTCTCAGCAGTAACTACGACGTTCACCTAAGCTCCAAAACGAACTACTTTGTTTTTGCAACAACAAGTCGTGGTTTGTCGATGCGTTCTGCTGACACAAAAAAAGCAAAAGAGATAGGTACAATACTGGACAGTTTACGCAATGTCGAACTTGTAAGAAGGCGGGTGGCCAACCAAAGTCCTGCAATATATGTCTCCGCAACTCATCCGAGGGTAGTCGAGATTACAATGCCTGTATTTGATCCTCGTTGAGATGTAGCATACTGCCTTGTATTCATGCCTGTAGGACAGGTATCGTTCTGCTCACTACCGTTAACTTTATTGTTCCTTGAAGCTTCTGCGCGCGAGGACTCACTAAAAAGAATGCAACATGTCGGCGGACCGCCCAAGCATGCCATGCGTCGGGCAACAATGGTGAGGTTCATGACGATATAATATAGTTAACCCGAGTCCGACATCTTCTCGTCGTTTATTGAGCTGCAAACTTTGTCTAGACAATAGTATTTGATCAAAATGTTGCCCGCCACAGGCGTCACTCGATTTCTGTAATCGCCTCGTCGATTCCATTTTTACGCCTCCACATGCCTAGATAGTGCCGCATCTTAGAATCTGGCCATTGCACCTGGTTCGCGCATCCTCCAATATCAACTAGTCGCATACTTGCGAAGCGTTTACGCGGTACCCGACCGCAAGGTATGAATAGGTGGGTTTTAAACACTACGCAAATGTCGAAGCCGGATTCGCAAACGCACTGATCGTGACCTGGTCAGCAATCTAAGGGCTCCATAAGTCCTAGGACGTCTCAAACGCGACACCGCGTAGAGAAGCGTGAAGTTAGACGACGATGCTCACCGAACCTCGGCACGACCTAGTAGTAAAAAGGTCACTTGCGTGTTGCGCTTAGCGCCGTAACCATGAAGCCCCTCTGACATTTAAACCTGAGCTGTCGTCTCGTATGGTTGCGCAATCAAGTCATATGCGCTGTCTTGGAACCTTGATGTTCGTTGAGAGTCACATGCAATGGACATCGCAGTGCGCTTACGACAAAGGACTCGGCTTTCCAGCTTGCCATGTGGAGTCGTGCGAATCTCCTCGATAGCCTGAAAAAGAACTTCAAGTAGCCTCTATCGCAAAAGTGGAGATATTGGCGCTGTGATTCCAACCTCGCCTTCTCTATCATTGACCAGCGTTATATTTTGGTAGCAAAGAGTGATGATGTCACTGACGTCATGTTTGCTCTGGACTTCGTCGATCGACGACTCAAAGGACCAGATCGCAGTGATTGAGCAACATTTTGGTGAAAAGGGCGATGTGACGATGCCGAGTACGATTTGTTATTTCAGAGCAACTGGAGTACCTGCGTAGGCATGACTGCTTTGCAATCGCAGCACCCAGACGCTTGCCTTTCTTGCGTGGGTCAGCCAATTTGTTAGCATTTATCTGAGTCATGCCGTCACGCTGACAAGCAATGTCATCGGCGCTCTTGTATCTGTGGTACAAGCTACTTTTGACTATCCCGGAAAGTTAAGATTGCGACGATTGCCTGTTCTTCCCGTTTCGTGCTATCAGACCCCCGAATATCGAATAACGCGCTACACGTGTGACGAAAGCACTTTGTCCATGCAACACCGCCTATGCAGTGTATCTGAATGCGCTCATTTTGTCCGAACGTATGCCTGGCACGAGATCAGTGTCCTTTCAATGTTTTGATTGCTTAAAGCATTGAGTAATGCAAGACAAACGTTGTTGTGGGTCGGATACGCGACTAAGAAACAAAGTTTTGCAGTCTAGCATGTCTATCTAGCGCTGCTGTTTATATTGGAGTAGCGAATGGTAATCCTAACGACTTTCTTCTGCCTGTTTCTTTAGCGTGCACCCTGCAGAGTGAGCTGCACAGCAACCGCCAACAAAACGGAACTGTGATTCCAGAACACCGCAGAATACCCAGTAACATACGATACGTAAACCCTGTAATCTTGCAGGCTCGCAGGTTTACGTATTGTATGTCTGCTCAGTGAATACAACAAGGTTAGCGAGCCAGTACAGCAGGGTCATTATACACATGCTTGTTCCCTCTTTGTGGACGTCGCAGAACGAGCACCTGAGTTGTCGTCTCCCAGAGGTATCACATAAAACATAGAAGTAAAGCTCGCACAAAATCCCGTCGCAAAAGTCTGTTTGCACTCAGTGGATGACATGTCTACTACATTCTGCTGAGATCACACATCTCCGATAGATGTAATCAAAGAACGTTTCAGCTGGTACAACCAGGGTACCAGGCGAGTCACCACTATCAAACAACTGTGTTGCCTGCGGTAAGGGTATCATAGATGGGGCTCACTGCCCAACCTGGATGACGCCCCGAGTAGTAATGCACCCAAATTCCCTACCAATGACATGAATAAATCGATGCCAAAGTTTTTCGAAAGGTATGCATCTGCTCTATTCACTGTTTATGCTGCTCGGCCGACAGCCTTTGGCATTTTCTTGGAGCAAACATCCTCGACTTCCTTGACTTTATAGTAATGCGGCGCAAGTTCCATCAGCCATTCCGACTTGATTGGTACCACATTGCGCATGTACTCCTTCGTCATAAATGCCAATTCATGATAGACGACCCAACGCGGAACTTCTTCGAGCTTGATGAGGCAGGAACTTGGATGGATGTACACAAGCTGTGCCTTCTTCACCGTCTTGTATTGACCCGAGTTGTCCAGCTTAGCCGTGTTGCAAAAGTAGCCTGCGCAGATGGCTTTACGGATCGGCTCATGGTCGCTTCGGTTGCTTGTACGCTCCAGCTCCGCGCGATCGCAAAGACCTTCGAGCCGCTCTCGCACGTCACGAGCAGTCTTCAGCGAGCGCATAATGACGAAGTTCTCGTATGTCCACTGTGTGGAACAGTTCGTCTCGACCCATTGGTTGTAAACATTCATCAACGTGATGTGATCACCGCCGCCACCACGGGCGAAGTTCAGTCGAGCGTTGTCAGCATGCACTGCTTTGTCTTTTGGCCGATAAAAGATCGAGTTGTTCACGCTTAGCATAGCGCACACTGTCATTACTTCTTCAACGCAGCCATACTTCTCGGACGCAAGCAGTGCTTTAGACATCATGGGATCGAGCGGAAACTCGGCCATACGACGCCCAAGCTTTGTCAGTTCTCCCAAGCTGTTGAGAGCTCCAAGGGCGTAAAGCTGTTCGAGCGAGCGAATCAGTGCCTTCTCTGGCGGCGGGTCCATGAAGTCGAAGTAAAGCAGGTCGTTTATCCCAAGTGACTTCATGAGCAACACGACACTAGCAAGGTTCGTACGCTGAATTTCAGGCACAGAATTCTCGTCCAACTCGTTCTTGTACGACCACGCCGTGTACAGACGGAAGCATTTTCCTGGGGCTGTACGGCCCGCTCGACCAGCACGCTGGTTCGCCATCGCCTGCGACACAGGCGCCACCAGCAACGACTCCATACCGGTTTGCGCATTGTAGTTGGTTTGTTTGCAAAAGCCCGTATCAATTACGTAGCAGATGCCAGCAATGGTGAGAAACGTCTCCGCAATATTTGTACTCAGCACGACTTTGCGAGCACCCTCCGGCGTTAGCTCAAACACCTGTGCCTGGCGTTCTGAGGGCAGTGTTGCATAGATTGGCCGAATAAGCAGCTGCCATATACGAGACCCGAGACCCCGAGTGCGTTGCAGCAGAATCTCTTCAACTGATTCGATCTCTTCTTGACCTGTAAAAAAGACGAGGATGTCTCCCAATGGCTGGGTAATGTGGATCTGCAGCACTGTCACGATGGCGGCATCCAGGTAGTCAGCCTCCGGAGCTTTTGTGTACAGAATGTCGACAGGATACATGCGCCCGGGTACTTTGAAAATTGGAGCGTCATTAAAATGGGCACTGAACTTCGTAGCATCCAGCGTAGCACTAGCCACAATGATCTTGATGTCGTCTCGAAAGCGCGCGATGTCCTTGATGAGCCCGAACAAAATGTCGGTAATGAGGGTGCGCTCGTGTGCCTCATCAATGATCATGACACTGTACGACTTCAGACCAGGTTCGGTCAAGAACTCGCGCAGCAGCATACCGTCTGTCATGTACATTATGACGGTCTTGTCGCTGGTGCAATCCTCAAAACGAATCGAGTGACCTACTTCGTTACCTAGCTTCACATTCATCTCCTGCGCCACACGTGCTGCCACACTCATCGCGGCGACTCTCCGAGGCTGCGTGCAACCAATCGTGCCTAACTCCGAGTATCCCACTTCGTGCAAATACTGCGGAATCTGCGTCGTCTTGCCCGACCCGGTTTCCCCCTCAATAATGATCATAGGGTAATTGCGAATCGCTTCGAGCAGCGACTCTCGATATGGATACACGGGCAACTGTTTACGCCCTTTCTGCATGCTCAAATGCTTCGCTTGCTCCATTTTCTTCCTTGCGTTCTGAACATCTTGTTCACTCACGTGATGTCCCGACAGCATCTGCTGCAAAATAAAATCAATCTGGTCATCAAACACCCAATCGTCTTCCCCGGTCTTCTTCTTATGTTTATCGCGTGCTCCAAACCTGCTCCTGGCCATCTTGACCTGTGTTTCCTCCCACACTTCCTGCTCGGTATGAAAAACCTCGTCCTTTTCGTACCTGTCGGATAACAAACCCTCTTTCTTGCGAACTCGATTGCCTTCATCGCCGACTTCTTCATAAGAATAAGACATCTGATACCCCTCGACCTCCTCCTTCTTCGACCTAGCTTTTGCTGTCTCGAGAATTTGCCTACTAAGCTCTACCTGTTGTTGCTCCTTCCTCGATTTGTCCGACTCTTGAAACAAAACAGCCTCGTCTTTCGGCTGAAACTCCAGCAGCTCCAGCTCTTTCTCCTCTCTCTTCTTCAAATACTCCTGTCGACTCAACTCTCTCAGTCTCATTAACTCATCGCTAAGGGCGCCCCGTCCGT